GAGGGGAGGTGAGAGCCCTCGACTCCGAACATCGGGGCTGAGCGTGCAGGGATCTAGGGTGCACCTTAAGCCATCAGAAGCATGTTTTTGGTGGTTTAAAACTCACAATCCTAAGCCGGCACATGGAGCTTCTCTTGGGAAGGGTTGGTGCAGTTAAAGGCATGGTTTCGGTACATGTTTAGGGATCGGGGAGGCCTTTCAGGCACTACGGTGAAAGTCAGCCTGCAAAAGAAAGTGGAGTGACGTTTGGTGTTAAAAGGCCTGTTTGAGGGGTGTTCTGTAGGGATAGTATGCCAGACAACCCATAACCTGTTGACTTTAAGGAGAAGGTTGCTGCTTTCTGGGCCCAATTCTAATTATGGCCATCCGACTCGTGCCAGCTATCTTCAGCACAACCCCTGTGCACCACTGTGTGCTTTGCCCTGTTGGGGCTAGCAGCAGCTGCAGGTCCGAATTTGTAAACATAAGCAGCTCGACGACCGAGGCGCACGGGTTCGCCAGGCTACAAAGCGAAACCCTACATGGACATCCCATATTCGGGCCCACCGCCGCTCCGCAAACGACCTGTGGGAACAGAGGCAATACCCTTGTTAACATCGAAATCCCACTACCCTAACCCTAAACCATAAACCCTAAACCCCAACCATCGTAGTCCCACTACCCAAAGCCCTAGACCCTAAACCCTAAACCCGGAGTCTCGGGTAAAACCTCTAAGGGTCCATGGTACACCTGAAGGCCAAGGTATAAACTCCATGAGGGCATGGGCCGTGTGAAAACCCTACAGCTTGCCATGTAGCAAACCCTCCATCTGTGTGTATATATATATATACACATACATACATATGTATGTCTGCATGCATGCATGCATGCATGCATGCATGCATGCATGCATGAATACATGTACGTATGCATGTGCACACATGCACCTGTGTATATACATATATAGAGATGTAGTATACATGTGTGGGTATGTATGTATATTATACATATACATACACATATACATATACATATACATATACATATACATATATACACACACATATATATATACACGACACATACATAGATATGTACATACATATGCATAGACAAATAAAAATATATAGGTATAGTCAACCCGATAAACTCACTTGGGAAAGTGCGCACCACGATGGCCTGAGCCGCTCGACGAGGACCAAGCAGACCATGTCACAGATTGCAAGGTAGGAAGCATGTAATATACAAGCCTGACTCATCAGCAGTTCTATTCCTTCGGGTTCTTGACGATATATCTAGTATACTATACTCCAAAACCTTATAATTGTGTTCCTTAAGGCGCCTATAGTAGCATCCATGGACGGGCTTTGGGGTTCAGCTGGGGTGGGGATTTAGGGCCGCAAACCCAAAACCCCCAGACCGAACTTCGACTCGAGTCCTGTCGCGACCTCGCCACAACTAGGAAAAACTGGTACTACCGGGTAGCGGCCCCAACCAAGCTGAAGGGTTTCAAAACTGAAACTAGGGCCTACGTAGGCTTGAGGCAGGCTTTTCAAACGATCTGGGCTATAAGCATGAACTTAGGGCATAGGCTTGTGGGTTGACGAAGGCTTCGGGGTGGACGGTTTCTTCGAGGGTGAAGGAACCCTGTAAGTAGGCCGATACAAAACGAACCCTACAGTTGGACCACTTGCATCCCCGACCAAAGTACTCAGTAAAAGACCCGTTTTTACATGCTCATGGTTTATGCAAGAAATCGACTACACAGCTAGTATGGGCTTTTTCGTTTAGGGCTTAGAGCAAGGTTTACGTTGCCCATGGTCTTTTGAACAGTTTTCCTGAAAACCCTACAGACTTAATTTTAGTAAACTCCGCCCCGAAAGACGAATCGAAGGCTGTTTCCTTTACCGCATGGGCCCTTGGTCCATCAACTCTGCTTGCAGGCCACCCTGTGAAAAAAGAGTGCCCAATGCCCCGTTAACAAAGGAATGAGACGTAGCCGAAAAGCTTCCTAGGATTCTTCGTGCGCTACGAGGATGTGTTGTACAAAAAACGGACATCCCCATGTCCCCCAAACAAGCCCAGCGTTCCTTAGTTACGGAGCACGTACATTGGGCTCTCTGTGGCGATTCCAGGGCAGCTCACTGACTACCTTTCCGCTTGCTTTTGACGATGCCGGTGAAGGTGCGCGGTGCCAATTCCTAGGTTACCCACCATCCCCTTACTAGTGAGCCTACCCTACTTCTCGTTATTCAGTTTTTAGTAGGGAAGCCCACAAACAGAAATGGAAAAATAAGCTATTAGGAGACCAAGATTCGACATCCTGCAGAAATCGGTTCCTTAGATCGCACTCGAAAGCCGCAACTGGCGACTCCAGCAAAACGGAGCAAGAAGCAGAAACCTAACAAAAAGCCCGTACAAGGACATGGAAAGGACCCGTGCCCCACTTCTCCGAAACATCTGAACACCAAACACAAATGTGAATCTATCGACCCGAACTGTTCAAGAATACCGCAAAATTACATCTGCAGTTCGCCCGCCCCTAAACCGTAAACCCGTAAACCCAAAACCCCAAACCCTAAACCCAAAACCCCAAACCCTAAACCCAAACCCCGCGCGCTTGAAGTAAGGTGCATCTTCCGGAGATGACGCTCATGGAGTCGACGATCCGGAGGAATGATGGTTCTTCTTTGGGTTGAAGGGGTTTTAGTCCAGGGATTAGGGGTTTTGGGTTTAGGGATTTAGGGTTTAGGGGTTTGGGGGTTAGGGTTTAGGGGTCTTTTAAAGGCATCCAGAAAAAGTTTGTGTAAGGCTTCTTCGAGGGTTCTAGAAGCGCTTCGAGAAGAGTGTCATCTGGTTCCTTTTGGTGTCATGGGTGTTCAACTATGCCGTTGAGCTATAAGGGTTTCGCAAGGATGGGGGCTGTACGGGATTTATGTATGAAGCAAGTCTTGTGCGAATAGGGTTACAGCATGGCATGAGGGGCTTCTTGAAGGTTTTCTGGGCTTGCACCAGGAATTGCAAGATCCCCGGACTCTATAAACCACGAGCCCACGAGTTTTCCGGTGAGTCTTGTGAGGAAGATCTTGCGGCAAGGGCTGGTAAAGACTCTCAGGGTTCACATGCTTACGGTTCAGGGTCTAGGATTTGCGGGGTCTGAGGGTCTGCAAGAAATCCAAACGTCTTGTTCGGACTTTCTTGAAGCTGCGCTAGCTCACTTCCACAGGGTGGCACGGTGCACGGAATCCTTGGGTAACTGTGTAACCCTACCCATAGGCCCCTAAGTAGATCCTTTTTATGGTTTATATTTAGAATCCTACAAGGCAATCCCAAGAAGGAACTACTTAGGGGCCTGTGGGTAAACTCACCCGATACTCTGAACCCCGAGACCCTCACACCTTGGAGGCCCCGAAGACTGGTTAGAAGCCCCTTAAGAGCCAGCAAAGGAGGAGGAAACTTTAAGTCAGGATGGTGATCCCTCGATAGTTTAAACCCTAAACCCTAAACCCTAGGATAGCTCTTGATTGAGGGCTTTTGGGCTCTGTGGAAGCCTTCAACCTTGAAGCGCCTCTCTTTACCCTACCACCCCATGTTGCATCAGGACTTGTGCCGCCGCCTGAAGCAAGGACTGAGCCTACGGAGAACTCGCTTATAAATTCTAGGGTCTAGGGCTTAGGGTAGCCTATAAAAAAAAACTCTAAAAACCGAGACCACAATTAAAGCAGACGGTACGTCCTGGGGGAAGATCACGATGCCATGAGGCGCTGTCCATAGAGGAGCCGACAGTATCCACTGTTGAAGCCGTTGAATCTTTGCCTGGGGGTTTATGGCTTTGGAAAAGCAGTTGTTTTTGTTATGCGAGTTTTGTTGAAAAGAGTTGAAACGGGTTGCAGCGAATTTTATACGGGGCGTTTAAGGATAAATCGTATTGATATGCATGAATAAGGCTGTTTCAAGATTTTTCGGGTGTATATGGATTGTACAAAGGTTTGGGTGGCACGGGAAACTCTTCCACCTAGTCCATTATAGACGAAAGAGCCTACGGTCTTTCGGCTCAATATTGGGGTCTTGTGTTGTCTTAACTATTTTCAAGTGCACTACTCCGAGGAAAGAGACGCGGCCCTGCTTCGGGGTCGTTGCGAGTGTATTGAAAATCTGAAAAGAGATGCGTTGAGATCGCACATGCGCCGGGGTAACAAGACTCCACCGTAGAACTGACAAGCCCAGCCGCTTATGCTTGTCGCCCGCGCAAATTCTCCGTCGGGAAACGTGATCAAAGCTTCAAAGTCGTCCTCGTCCTCAAGAAGGGCTCAACCCTAAACCCTGAACCCGCCCTGTAGAGAACCCGCCGTGAAACCCCCCCAATAGAACCCGAACAGAACCCTTAAACAAAACCATTAGCTCCCTTCTTATAGACGCATTAAGACGTGCGTGAGTCCCACCGTTCAAAACACCTTCCAAGCTTCGAAACCCATGGGACAGGAGGGATCCTAGGCACATATGGGGTTTTCCGAAAATAGGGGACCCTAATATAGTACCCTAAATGGTAGGATTCTTATTATAAGGACCCCAAAATAAGGTACCCTAATTTTCGGAAAGTCCCACATAGAAACCCCAAGCTGTCCTCGATCAATGGGTGGTCGGCCGGCTTCTGCATCATGCCGGTCATCTCATCCATCAAGGGCTCCTGAAGAGCTTACCTATACTCTCTATTGTAGTTCCGTTTTGGGGTTACCTTTTAGGATCCTTAATATAAAATTGGCTAAAACAGCAAAAAGGAACTACAATGGAGACTA